TTTACAGACGTTACAAAAAGGGATGCTGATGATAACTGCTACCATTTGTGAATGCAAGAGATAAATATATCAATCTTTATTAAGAAAATAGCACAAGAAGGCTTTTTGTGGAGGAAGTGTTCTCCTTCTGTCTTTGGAAAGTGGAAGGTTTCATGACAGAAATGAATATGAATTATGATGCTGGCGGTGCTCGTTGCTCAGTGAGTAGGGCACCAGCCACAGACACTGAGGCTGGCGGGTTGGAACCCAGCCTGGGCCAGCTAAAACAACAATGACAAGTCCAACAAAAAAGTAGCCAGGCATTGTGGCAGGTGCCGGTGGTCCCAGCTACTTGGGAGGCTGAGGCAAGAGGATTGCTTGAGCCCAAGAGTTTGAGGTTGCTGTGAGCTATGATGCCACAGTACTCTACCCAGGGCAATAGCCTGAGACTCTGTCTCAAAAAAAAAAAAAGAATTATGATGCTCAAATCTTCAGAACCACAATCCTTTCATAATTACTATTTTTTTCTGATTTGGTTTTTCTGCTAATATTATTCATAATATTTTCACCTTTGAGATACTTTATGTATTTCATAAATATCTTTTTTTCTTATTTCAAAGGTAATGTATTTAATATAAAAATTAGGTATACATCCTTCCAGTCTATTTAAATCACATAAGAATATTTTTTATTTGGCGTAATATGGAATCATACAGTGCATGCTGCCTTGTCATCTACTTCCCCACATTTACTATTCTATGAACATCAAAGAACCTTTGTGATACCATTTTCTTTAGAAACTAAAGGCCTCACATATGAAAAAGAAGCAAAGTCTTCATGCTGAGAAACTATATTTCAGTCAATTTATAAACATCATCAAGAATATTTCCAAACATTGGTTTGTATCAAATAACTAAAAAATAATCACCAGTTTAATTGTGCCAAGCTCTTCTGACAATTTTAGAGTTATAGATTATCCACCTCGAGGGGAGAGGAGTTACAGAGGCCTGGGCCAGAAAGTGTGGCTCTGCCTTTCTTCATCAGAGACAGAAACCAGCAAGCTTTTTCTCACCTGGTAATGTGGGGGAATTACTGGGAGGTAAAAGCACTGCAGAAAGATCCAGCATAACCAACAGGGAAAATAGGGCTTAGGAGCTACAGAGAAGAAATCGGGCTATCTCAGGGCAAGCTTGCCTGATTGTTCCCTCCTGGAGCAACACACAGAACTGAACCATGGGAGTGCTGCTAAGTTTGCCACGGTGAATCTGGAGGCTGCCCGGTACAGACTGAGAAGGGAAGTGGTTTGACTGAGGCCTAGGAAACCCTGAGAGCTAAAACACAGACTTGGAACAGTCAGGTCCACCGTCTTCTCTCACACTGTACAAATCCAAAGCACAGGCAAACGCCAACAATAGCACAGGAATATCTCTGTCTTGAGGTATCTGTTCCTCAATGCATTCTAATCAGGCTTCCACTTCAACCTGAAATGGCTTTTGCTAAAATCACCACTGATCCCCCTAAAGACAAATGGAAAATTTTTTTTTTTTTTTTGTAGAGACAGAGTCTCACTTTAATCACCCTTGGTAGAGTGAGAGTGTCGCGGCGTCACAGCAACCTCCAACTCCTGGATTTAGGTGATTCTCTTGCCTCAGCCTCCCGAGTAGCTAGAACTACAGGTGCCTGACACAATGCCTGGCTACAAATGGACATTTTTTAATTTCTCATTTGCTTGGCCTTTCTAGAACATTCACTCTGTTGCTGCTCTCTTATTTGGAAACTCTTTCCCTTTAGTTTGTATGTTATTATTGACTGTAGGAAATAGAAACCTCTCTAGCAACTTCTGAGTACCTAATTATAAAATTACAGGAAAAGCAGGAATGGTAGTCTCCAGCTGCAAACTGGCCAGGGGAGTGGCTACCTCTGCCATATCAGGCAGGTGGTGATAAGGAAATTCCACTGCCACTGGGCTCATGGAAGTCTAACTCAGCGGTTCTCAACCTGTGGATCATGACCCACAGGAACTGTATTAAAGGGTCGTGGCATTAGGAAGGTTGAGAACCACTGGCTTACTACAGCTGTGATCTCAGAACCAGGAGGCTGTGATTTCTTTCATCTCAGTAATCATCATGTTAATGACTGGCTAATGTAGTGCTGCTGTGGGCAAACTCAACTTCTCCGTGATCTTGCTTATCAAAGCAACAAGAGGATGGTCTCAACCTTATTTCCACCTTGTAAATCTCATATTAATGCACTTCATTGGTGGGAATAAATACGTATCCAGGAATCCACCTGCAAGGAGTCTGAAAATATAGTTTTTGCCACCTCTGCAGTACAGAAAAGCATAGTAGAAGGAGTAGGGAAAAAACCGGGGCCCACCCTGTCCACCATGGTGGCATGGTGCTTGTTTCCTACTCTGCCTGCCCCTTGGTTTGGGGTGACTTCTTCTCTTCTTTTTACCTACTCTGAGTAACAGATTCTCCATCTCAGTACATAAATCAGAAGTTTCCTATGAATCTTGCCTCCTAATTAACTTGCAGCTTTCATCTATTTTCCATTCACACTATCTAAGTCTATTCTAAATATTTTGACTAGATTAGTACAATAATCCCTTAATTGATTGCCTCAGACTATACAACAAAATATTTCCCCAGGCATAATCAATATAGAGAACTTGACGCAACCCAAGTGAGTACATGCTTCCTTGGGGCGCTCAGAAATGTGTGTGGGCCTTTTGATTGATGGCGCAATTGATTAGTTTGCAGAGACTGGGGATGCGTTCTGCAATGTGAAAGATGGTCCTGAATAACTAAGAATTATCTGCCCCAAATGTTGTTAGTGCCCCCTTGAGAAACAAGGATTCCTAGATTCAGGATTTAATAGACCATTAAATTAAAAAGATGTTGGGAACGAAAACAGATTGACAACTTTCAATTTTACTAATTACATGAAACAAAATTATTACCATCTTCTACCACCATTGTTTCATAAAGGAAAAGATATTTAATTTTCTCCCCAAAAAACCTTGTACATAAATGTTCATAGCAGCGTTAGCCAAAGACTGGAAATAACCCAAATGTCTACCAACTGATGAATGGATAAACAAAGTCTGGTATAGCCATGCATTGGAATACCCTCACACACAAATCATTAAAAATCCCCACAGATCACATGTTATTATCAACTGTAAGAAACACACAATACAATAACAGACGAATCTTAACATGTTTTGCTGAGCAAAAGTAGCCAGACAGGACAGAATGCATATTAGTTCTATTTATGTTAATGATTCTATTTGTGTGAAACACTAGAAATATAAATTAAAAGTGCCAGAAAGAAGATCAGTGATTATTTAGGCCCAGAATGGGGGAACCGACTGGAAAGGAACACCAGGGAAACCTTTTGTGATGGAAATTATCTACATCTTGATTGCAGTGGTGGCTACATAGCTGTACACATTTGCCAAAACTCATCAAGTTGTATGCATTTACTGTATAGAAATCATAACTTAATAAAGTGGATGTTTAAAAAGCTAATATACTGGGCAGTGCCTGTGGTTCAGTGGGTAGGGTGCTGGCCCCATATACCGAGGGGTAGCAGATTTGAACCTGGCCCCGGCCAAACTGCAACAAAAAAATAGCTGGGTGTTATGGCGGGTGCCTATAGTTTCAGCTACTTGGGAGGCTGAGGCAAGAGAATCGCGTAGGCCCAGGAGTTGGAGGTTGCTGTGAGCTATGACGCCACAGCATCCTACTGAGGGTGATAAAGTGAGACTCTGTCTTTAAAAAATAAATGTCTATACTCCCAAAGCAATCTACATATTTAATGTAATCCCTATTAAAATACCAAAATCATACTTTGAAAAACTGAAAAAAAAGTTCATCTTATATGGAACCAGAAAAAAATCCCAAATAGCCAAGGCTATTCTTAGTAATAAAAACAAGCCAAAGGCATCATACCAGACTTCAGATTATATTACAGTCCACAGGGATCAAAACACCAAGGTACTGGCACAAAAAGACATAGACATATGGAACAGAATACAAAACCAAGGGATGAAACCAGTCTCTTACTGCCATCCAATTTTTTTTTTTTTTTTTTTTT